AAAAAAAAAAAAAAAACAGCGTGCCCGCTATATATATAGACGGGCGCCATGAAAAATAAAAGGGGCGGGCCGGCTTCCCTCTTTTTTGTGTGGGGGGAAAAGAAAAGAGAGGGGGGGCGCTCTCTACGAGCGGCACGAAAACAAAACCGATAACGCGCGCGTTTTCGTACTGAGCGCTCGCGCTCGCGGGCGCGCGTGGGGGGCGCGCGATCTATCGCTCGAAAAATTTATTTTTGTAGGGCTCGCGCCCGCGGGCGCGCGCCGGGGTGGGTAGAGAGAGAGAGAGTTTTCTTTTTTTATATATATATATATATATATATATATATATATATATATATATATATATATATATATATATATATATATATATATATATATATATATATATATATATATATATATATTATTCTTATTATTATTATTATTATTATTATTATTATTATTATTATTATTATTATTAACTAAATAGTAAATAGTCTATAATAATAAATATATCTAGTATTTAAATAGAAACAAATCTATATTACTTAAATAATTCATAATAATATAAAATATAATAATAATAATAATAATAATAATAATAATAATAGAAAAAATAAAAAATATATATAACTAGAGTTCATTATTTATTTTATATTTTTTTTTTATTTTCCTATGAATATTTTTTAATAAAAAATAAAATGATTTTAATAAAAAATTAAATAATAATAATAAAAAAAAAAAAAAAAAAAATTAATTATAAGCTCGAGCTCGAGCTCGAGCTCGCCAAAATTGGCTCGAGCTCGAGCTCGAGCCAAAAATAATTGGCTCGATGAGCTCGAGCTCGAGCTTGGCAACATGGACTCGAGCTCGAGCTCGAGCTGGCCAAAAGAGCCGAGCTCGGCTCGAGCTCGGCTCGTTCCCACCCCTACTTGTTGTTGGTCAAATAGCAAGCAGAGTTTCGTTGTTGTTCCTAAACAATCAGAAACCCAATACGGCGTCGTTCGTATCTCAGGTGCATACGCCGTCGTTTCGACCAACAAATCAAAGATGCTAGAAATTCAACAAGTTTCCAAGAAACAGGAACAATGGCGGCAGTTCCATTATACCCACAAAATTTCACTCAAAGTCAAAGTCATTGACGAAACTGCCCTCGTCGAGTTGCCGCCGCTGCTTAACGGAAACGTGAAATTTAACGGAAACCGTCAAGAAATCAAAAGGGAGACCAACAAGAAGAAGAAAAAGAAGAAGAAGAAGCAGCCTACACGTGGAGGCGCGAAGGCGAAGGAGGAAGGAGGCATCGGCGCCGTTGAAAAGAAGAGAGGTGTGTTGGCTTATCCAAGGGCGGAGATTGAGTCGCTGAGGTTCGAGAATTTGGAAGATCAGATGAACAAGTGGGCGCAGGTGTACCATCGGCTCGGTGCACGTGCGGCGCACGAGTACGATGGACTTGCTGCTTTCTCTACTAATTAATCTTCTGCCCAAGCTCAAGAAATCTGCTAATTGGGGTAATGCTTCTTTTCTTACTTTATGAATCAGCCATTTTTATTTATTTTTTTGTTATTACAACAACTGTGTATGTGTAATTTGATCTTCTTGAAATGATTGCATGTGTGTGTGTTCAACTATGGTGTTTGCAGTACAATCCAAATTTCTTGCTAGATACAAGAATGAAGAAACATTAATATTAACAAAAGACACGAGTAAATTGGATCGTTCGTCCTTTTTCGTTTAATCTCGTCTGTTTCGTCGTCAAATTGTCTAATTTCAATTTGATGGGATTTTGTTTTAATGCAGATGCAGTGGTTTGCAATGTGCAGTGAATAGCCTCTCAGCTATTTGTGAAAATGCCAAGCATAACTCTTGTTGCTTCTGGAGATAGATTTGTTTAGAGCGATTTCAAATAAAGATCGATCGATCTACGGTTTCGTGAATCGCTCACTGTATATAGCTTAGCTTACTCGTATATTCTGCAATTTAGAATACGACAAGTCCCATTGTATTTTGCAGATCTATTCTTTCTTGAATTCGAGGAGGGTTGCATAAAGCATAAAACGGCACTCAACTATAAGAAAAAAGTAAAAATAGTCGAATATATAAGGTGGTCTTTCGAGTATATACTTACAAAGCCACATTAGAACACACAATCTCACAGCTCCATATACACACACACACACAAGCTACTAACAAGTAAGAACTTGGCTTCTCAAAACTTGCACAACAGAAAAAGGATCAACATAGATTCAACATATTAAGATTTACCATTTCACCCCTCTTAACTGTTAATCACACAAAAACTAGGGGCATAATAAAAAGCAAATCTTTTGCTCCTTTTTTATTACAACAAACAAGGTTCCTATGTAGTTTCAAGAAGATGATTTGTAGGATGGATTGAACGGAACCTGTTCGGCACAGTTGAGCACTTCGTGGGGCCCAGCCTCATCTCGGTTAAGACCCATCAAGTCAAGGTAATGCTGGTAATGAGATATCATCACGTTCATCGAGTCAACATCGCCTTGACCACAAACACTATCGCTGTACAAAATGTTCATTGTGGTTCCGAAACCCGGTACCCGTTTGGCCAAGGTGTCGTTTTTCGTGGGTTTCCAGTTTCCGACAAATGCATCGTGTGCCGAAGGCTGTCCTTTCTTGGCAGGTGTCATCCACCGCCACATGGCAGCCTGGAAAGCCAGGGTGGCGTTCTGCTCGATGTATTCTGGATGGTTCAACAAATCCACCTTCAGGGCTTCCCCAATCGCTCCGTAGTTATAGTTCCTGGACGTGGAAAAATATTAGTTTTTACATTCGCCGGAAAGGATTGCTAATTAAAAAGATAATATCGTCGGAAACTGTTACCAGTAAATCGGAATAGCTCCACGGCCGTAGTACTGCGCTCCGGGTGCGCACGGATAATCGTATTTGTAATACTCATCGCAGTAATCCTGGCTAGGGCTCATCTCTTTTTTGTAGCATAGACCCCATGCCAATGGTCCACCAGTTGCCACCCCATAACCACCTGCAATTACAGAAATGGTACAAAGATTAATTAACCAATTAATTGCATAATTTGTAGTTTTTTAATTGCAATTTACTACTACTCACAGGAAGTTTTGGCACCGACGTGGCCGAGGAAAGCAGCGACCTCCTTCATCTGCAAGGTCTTGCCGCCGGTGGTGCCGAAGCCGAGAGGCTGGTAAGTGGCGGCGGCGGTGATGAAAGACCTGTAGTCCCAGAAACCGACGGCGTGGGACACCGGAGAATTCCTGTTCTCGAAGAGAGTCTCGAATTGGTAGGTTTGGAAGAAATCGGAGATTGTCTGGTTGCAACAGTATTTTGACAATCCTTTGCACTCCCAGCCTTGGTCGCAGAGCTTCTGCCCCTTCACCGTTTTCACGATGATCTCCTTCGGCGAGTCGGCCGCCACAACAGAAAAGCCGGCCGCGGCGGCGGCGGCCATTGTTATCATCAGAAACACAAAACCGGTGTTGAAATTCACCGCCATTGTTCTGAAAACAAAAACACAACAAAAGGGGAAATTGAAAGAGAATCTGAATTCCTTTGGAAGAACGAGTGAAGGGTAATGTACCTTCGCCGGAGCTGTGAATTGAATTTATGGTTGGAGAATCTGAATTCCTTTGGAAGCAATTCAATGGCTTTTGGAAGGCTGTGTGGGTGGGTGGTGTGGATGAGCTATCTCAGTTATGAGTATGATGTCAAAAGCAAATATAATTTTGTAAGTGTACCCAAAATACCCTCGAGACTAATTTTTTTTCATTTTCATCCATTTTTTTATTAATTATTGTAATTATGAATTTATCGATAAGTTAATATATCACTAAATTAATAGAATTTTTATAATCTCAACAAATGTATTAATTTACAAAAGGTTTAACTGTATATTGAATAAGATTAATGGAAGAAAATGGGTTGGAGAAGCAAAAGAAGGGCAAAATAGACAATGCAGATATGAGGCCAGGAATTAGGGAAATATGATGTCAATTGCTGTGATGAGGATAAAACGGACGGTGGAGATGATGCTGGGCAGAAAGTTGGTGAAAGATTACAGGCTGGATTTGGAATCAAGCAACCGCGGAAGGTAGAGAGGCTTGTCCCACACCACCACCTTACGTTCTGCTGTACCGACACCACACTGGATCATGAAACTTTTAAGTAATATATTTATATTTTTTTCATGAGTTTAATAAATTTATGATTTTTTTTCTAACAAAGTATATATTATTTCAATCTATTTTACAAACAAACAAACTCTCCATCTTTTAAAAGTTAAAAAGAAAAAATAAAAAAATATTCCATTGAGTTATTATTATACATTACAATAATGAGTTTATTTCACAAAAAAAAAAATGTTAATCAATTGTGTCACGAATCGGTGGGACCCACAGATCACGAACCGGAAAAATCTAGAACATTGTATTATTTATTACTTTTTATTTAAAAAATAGGTGTACAAGAATCTGACATGGTTTCATTGCATTATAAATTATAATACAGCATATAATAATGTTTTTAAGAATTTGAAGAGTCGAAAAAAGACAGTAAGATTATTATACATTAAATCAAGTACCATAATTTAATAGTAAAAGAAACCTAAGCAAAAGGAAACTATTGAATATTTGTTGGCACAGTATTATTCAACTGCTAAACTAGTACCTTAGTCCCACTAACTACCTACTGAAGTACATTTCTTATTCAAACTAATGTCAATAGTTAAATGTAGAAAAACATAAGTACTTACAAATTCGATTCGATCTGTGTGTAACTCAGTTGCTCGAACGAATTATGGGAGAAATTAATCGGCCATAGAAATCGAGAAGTAGTAGCTTCGGCCTTGATCCACCAACAAATTAATATCCACCTAAAAATCGAAAATGCATGTTAATTTGACAACACAGATTATACACGATTAGCGTCCAAAATATTAGATATCTCAACCTTGGAACTTGAATTTGGCCAAGAAAGAATGTAGGAAAAAAGACTTGAACGTTGAAATTGAAGCGATTTTCCCTTTCATGATGAATTCTGCAGGAGAAAGCTAGGTCAGCCAACAAAATTCTACAAGAAACTTCGATTGTAGATTAGATACAGGCTTGATTTATAATATGTAAATATTACAGTATGTTTACAGATATCCATCAGTGAAGCTGCAAATCAAAGTTTAGAAATGACATACCAAACCCAGTGCTTCGACCACACTTTGACCAATTTCTTTGCCAGAAACGGCGATGAATGAGTTCAATATCTGTTCTCTTTGTTCCACACTTAATGACTTGTCAAGCCCTCGAGCCACCATTTCCATCTCAGGCTGCAGCGTTACATAAATTTAAAAATATCACAACTATATTACTATTTTAATAATATTTGGTTGCAATGCAGCTTAACAGTTCTGCAAGAGACTGGGCAAAGAGAACAATATGCAGAAAACTCGGGGATTCAAATTAAGAAATTGGCTGGTGTGAAATTACTCCTTATTAGCATATTTTTGGGAAGAGGAATACTAGTTAAATGTGAAAGAACAGTTCAGAAAAGTACGAGGTATTGAGAAATTTTGCATAGCAATCAAGAGACGTAGACACATACCGAGTTCTCCTCTGGAGGGAAAATCTGATGAATGATGCATACTTTGAACAGCTCAGCTAGTGCTTCAGAGTGTTTATTTTGAACTTCTAATGCCTGCAATAAAATAACTTAATTAAGATAACCAAAACATCAACAATGTAATAATAACTATGTAATTAGCACAACAATTACATTGTCGTCAAAGAATTCTTTCAAGATTAATGATTCTTTAGAAAGTCATTCAGACAAGCTCCTCATAACATCTAAGATGACAATTTTGATTTATTAGAACTTTATATACATTAATAAAAAAAATAAAGATTATCTTTCACAAACAAGAACCAGAGACAACGCACCCAAGCCTGCAGGATTTTTGAACGTGTGCGTGCAGCAACAGCTGCAGATACAATTCTTGCAGCATGAGTGCTCTCAAGTCCGATATTATCAGCAAGCCCAGCAATAAACTCCGGCACATCCTCACCATTAATCTGAATGGAGGTGGATATATTTGATATGCTATAATAGAAGACGGAATCAAGTTACTAGTAGGTGAAAGAGAAAGGAGCCAACAAGATGATGAAAGATCCCGATCAAAGTTGTGAAAGCTGTATAAGTAACTTACGTCTCACAGTAGTTCAACACAAAGTTAACTGACACACGATAGAGTGAATCGCGTGTATTTGCAGTGCTAATGGATGTCTTCACACCATACGTCTTGCATAAGTGACGCAACTGTGGCAGACAAAAAAAGCAAAGATAACTTCAGTATATCAACTTAGTGTTTCAATTATCTTTCATTCTGTTTTGCTCAGGTGACGCAATATTCTGTTTTGTATCATATACAGATGTAATATACATCAATCCTCATCTATAATGATGAAACGAGATCCAGACAAAATACTTAGCTATCACGGGGCCTTAAGGCGAACGCCTCTCAGCACCAACTAGATAATATATGCAGATTAAAATACACGATGTGGTGCTCTCATAAAATTATAGAGGTAACATTGATATGAAAAAAACATATTTAGACTGGTGCATTGACGATTACCTACCTGAACTATATCATTTGCTGAAATATCCTCCCCAGCCATTTTGCGATCCACAATTGCTGTATATTAGAATAACCATGAAATGTAAAACTATGACTACTTGGTTAAGACAAAATACAATTAACAATAAAGCAATACCAGTTAAACTAGTCTGATGTTTCTACTAGCATACATCCTAAACATGGTCGCAATTTCACTCTTTTCAGTAGATGTAGAAAAAAATGAAATACTCTTTTATTTGAAGAAGTGACAAACAGTATGACATTCAACAGCTTTCTGTGGATCAAACAAAATATTATTTTCCTTAGCGGAACAATTAATACAGACAGCTATCCAGGCTGGGAGTTCAAAACTGATTCAAGTCATAAAGTTTTTAAAATATAAGTTGCAGTTTGCTTTTATCTCAAATTTCTCCTCCCACCTTAACTGTCAGTTATTGAGTCAATACAGAAACTGCCCGGGTTCAAGAAAAAACCCTATAGCCCATGAAAATATTGAAGAAACAAATATGCTTCAAATAGGCCACTTGGTGGAGCTGCCGACACCACCAATTTAACCCGAATAACCAGCTATACTAATGCAACTGCAGGAACCCCTATATAGCAACAGTATCACACCATACCGTAAAGTTATTAAAATGCAACGTTCTCTCTCTCTCTCTCTCTCTCTCCCTTCCTCCCTCCTCTCTATCACTCACATACACGCACATTTTAACCAGAAAAGTTGATTGACTAACTCTTGCTTGTTGCATAATACACTTCCTTTTAATAATGAATCTTACTTTGTCACCTAAATGCTATTCGGATGTCTTTTACGAACCCGAGCAAATTTCCATTTTAGCACTAAGTAAATCCTATTGAAACCATATTTCCGTATACGTGACAGGTAATACTAACTTCTCTTATTGCAATACAAAACCGTTTTAGTTTGTTATTAATACTTCGTATTAAATCATCCTAAACATTAAAACTTTAAAAGCAAACAAATACGGAGTCTCTCCCTTGTTTATCACACAATGCCGGTAGTCGATAGCATAAAATTAAAGAAACAAAAACGTAGGAGAACGAACCTCCAATCAATTGGTTAGCCATCCTCTGATATTCCTCTTTATTTTCGATTTCCGGTGAACCCAAATTCACTGCCTGAGGCCACCACTGAGGCAACTCTTCCTTCCTGGATTTACCCAAAATCTTTGTTCTGTTAATTTTCTTCTCATAATAGTAATCGGCATCATTCGAACTCAATGGGGTCGGCTTACGACGAGTCGGCAAGTTTGTCTCCTTCTTCCCTACCACCACTTCCTTACCGCCCAGGCTCCTATCCCGCTTATACACAAGTACTTCACCGCTATTTTTGCTGATTTGTTTAAACAAACCCCTAAAAGCAATAACAACTACCAAACTGGAAAAAAACAGAGCAGCTAAAAACTCAACACTGGACCTCCGGCAGGAGATGACGAAACCTCCGTTGGTCTCGTCAACGGCGACGACAGTCCTCAAGTCGTCAAAAGCTTCCCGGCCGCGGCCGATTAACTGATTCAATTTTGTTTCGAGTTGTTGGACTTGGAGGGAAGTGGAAGGGCGTCTTAGGGTTATTTGGAGGCCGTCATCGGAGAGCTTGAAAATAGTGGGTGCGAATATGGGCGTGTTCGCCGGAGTAGGGGAGTATTTGAGGAGGCGGCGGCGATGGTGGCGGCGGGGGATGGCGGAGGTGACAATAGCGTGGCGGAAGTGACACCGGTGCGAGCAATTGAGGTTCATGGAGTAATTGTTCATCTAATGTAAATTGGAAGCTCCAAAACAATGGGTAATGGGAATTTCCAACTCTAAAACAAAACAAGAAAAATAAAAATAAAAATAAAAAATAAAAAATATTGTAACATGACAATTTATTTGCCAAAAAATCTTAAATTCATTTGTGACATTATAATAATTATAATTGTGCATGGACAAATTTAAAAAAATAATATTTTTTTAATAAATATACTATCAAACATAAATATAGATTAACAAATTCATTTGCCACACATGATGTAAATATCGAAATCAACAATATATCGTCCCTATTAAACGAGTTCGTATCACCCAAATGAGACGGTAGGTCGAAAATTTACCAAAGAATGCACGAACTTAAACAAACCAATACAAATCACATTGTTTAAAAAGAACCAAAATATATGTTTAAGAACTGAAACCACAAACCCTTCCGACTCTGGGGGAAAAGAAAAAAAAAAAACAAACTCAATCCACATCCATCGATCCATTCGGTCATGATTTATAAAAGATATTCACTACCAACACCAGAAATGGAATCACAAGTACAAATCCAACAATTTCTCGAAATCAGAGAAACGGAAAATGAAAAAAAATAAAAATATTGTGTCGAAGGGAGTGCCGAAGTGGTCAATGAAAGGTGGTCATTATGCAGGCCCAAACTGTGCAAACACACACAAAAAACAACACAAAGAGCTTCTGGAGTTTAAGGGTGCTGGATCTCTGGAGCAGGTACAACCGATTTCAACAAGGGCTGAAGCGCCTTCACAACAATACTCATATTCGGGCGAAACTCAGCTTCATACTGCACGCACAATGCCGCAACTGCTGCCAGCTGTATAACCAAAGTATATTAATATATATACATATTGTGTGTGTGTGTGTGTGTGTGTGTGTGTTACAGAGAGAGAGAGAGAGAGAGAGAGAGAGAGAGAGAGAGAGAGAGAGAGAGAGAGAACCTTGGCGACCGCTTTAGCTGGATACTCTCCCTTGAGTTTTGGGTCAACACACTGTTTGACTTTGTCCTCACTAAGTCTTGGAGTAGCCTAACAGAAGAATAAGAAGATATGGGGTTTCAAACGAGATTCATCCATGCTGGAAACAATTAATAAAAGAACACAGAACTTTTGAGAGCACATAAAAAAGGGCAAGTTACGGAAACCACCCTTGAACTTAGGCTATATCACAAAAAAACACCCTCCCCTATCCATACTTACGAAAATCCTTCCGTGTACGACGTAAATAGACGTTCGGGGGATTTTGGTAAGTACTGATAGGTGGGGGTGTTTTTCATAATTAAGCCCAAGTGTAGGGGGGGTTTCGTAATTTACCCAATAAACGGGGTAACTGACCCAAGTAACAAGACTCTGTTGACCACGAGGCATAGTATGATCAACAGGCTTCCTTCCAGTAAGGAGCTCAAGCAGAACAACTCCAAAGCTATAAACATCACTCTTCTGTGTCAATTGCCCTGTCATTGCATATCTGCACAAACACACACTCTAAAGTTATACCGACTGTTACCTATTTTTATTGCAGTAAAGAGAAAATACATTACTAATTTAACATCCATTATCGACTTGTGCAGCTCTTTCCTTTAGTGGACAAAACACCAGACACTAAACTTTACAAGGACTTTGTCAAAAAACCAGACACTCAACTTATTGGCAGCCACATTTCCACCTTACCTTCTCATCATTACAATTTAAAAACTAGCAAATAGCCATCCTAAATAAATACTAAATAACAGATTAGGTTAGTAGATAGTGGTGCTTGGCTAACTCTTTTTCATGGACTTAAATTCCCTACCTAAAATATGGTTTTCAATATTTTGATGGGTTTATTTTCAATCCAATTCACGTGCATCAAGACTTCCAAGCGAGTCTGAGGGCATAGATAATGTAGCAAGATGCAACGAGTGAATAAGATGCTCATAATCATCAAATGTTATCTCGAACATTTATTCTTCACAGAGATGCAAAAGAATCTTGTGAAAAAGAAAGAGATGTTCAGAGCATTACTCTGGAGCATGATAACCAAAGGTTCCTAGCACACGAGTAGAGTGGAGGCGGGCAGCCATGTCAGGAGCCTGATTTGAAAGGTTAAAATCTGCAATTTTGGCTTTGTAGTCTTCAAATAAAAGTACGTTACTGGATCTGATATCTCTGTGAATCATTGAAGGCTGAGACTTTTCGTGCAAATATTCCAGTCCCCTCGCAGCATCAACAGCAATTTTCACCCGTTGCATCCAGTCAAGTACAGGACCAGGTTGTGCCCCTTGTACTCCTTTCCTTCCTGCAATAAAAGGAAAAGGTTTTAGCACTTCAAATAAGTTCAGAAAAAAGCTAATTAAGACCAAACATACCGTGCAAAATGTCATGTAGAGATCCCATGGTGGCAAACTCATAAGCCAAGACACGGAGACTGCCATCTACACAGTAACCAAGCAATTCAACAAGATTGTCATGCTTCAATCTCGACACCATGGAAACCTATACAGAAGTGAGAGGCATTACTATTTATGAACGGTCAATAGGCACCATGCAGAAAATTATTGCATTACGATTTTTTTCAATTTAGGTATACCTGTGTCAAGAACTCAACATTTGAATCAGGCTCAGATGACACATCAAGTTTCTTGACAGCAACCTCTTTTCCATCACTCAATTGTGCAAAGTATACTCTCCCGTACGATCCTTCACCAATTAATGCCTTTGACCCGAAGTTTTCGGTTTTCTCTTTCAGTTCCTCAAGAGACAGAGAAGGCACCTCGATGGGAGGTACAGCCCTCTGAACTTCGGGTTTCACTGGAGCCGATGTCTTAGAGCCTCTTTGGTGCCCTGGTTTTATAGATAGATAGGACCAAATAACAATTAAATTATGTTCTGAATCTCAATGGAATCAAGAGACATAGATGATAAAGAAAAGTTAATTCATAAGTTATCCTGACATCCTATTTAAGTTATAGAATTATATTAAGTACAAGGTAGAAAGAAACATAAACAAAATGCACAACGTGCATATTGATATTGAGTAATCAACCTGCCAAAACACATATTGAATAAAAATTATAAAATGCATCTTGCCTGCCAGCCAGCCCAAAAAGATGATGAGATAGACGCTGGTTTATTTACACCTATGTTCACTAATTTGTCCATTTGGGTATAAGAAAGACACTTTGGGCACACCATAACATAAAAGTTGAAAGTCGATATAGAATTATTGCTTCTTCACACAATCTCATCCTGTTGACTGATTACATTCAAAATAAACAGAATAAATAATGCTCCACAACAACAGACATTCAAGCAAAAGACAGTATACAATCACCATATTCAACGCAGTCCTACCAATCTAGTAAACAGATTATTATCACTAAGCGGATAATTTATGTACGGGAGAAAGCTATAGGGAGGAAAAATAATCAACCATATCAAGCAAACTGAAAATAAAAAACCACACAGTTTAACTTATTGTCAAGAGAAGTACAATATAAAGACATGCATGCATCTTCTATGAGCAGTAACCATTTCATTCATTTATATATTCAAATTGTATTGAATGTGCAAAGAAAGAAAAAACTAGGATAACAACGTAACGGGAATTAATATATATATATACACACACACACACACACACTAATAGCAGCTAGGCGTAATGCTAAAAGATATAAAAGACTTACCATCAGCATTATTCCTTGGGCTTTTGAGGTGCTCATTTTCGTTCTGCTGATAGGACTCCTCTACATGACAAGTGCAGCACAGCCACCTACGCATCCTTGTTCTCTTTTTCAAATAAGGATCTTCTTCAACAGTCTTGTTCTCCAAGCGCACAAAATAACCGGGTGGAGGTGCCTGAGCCTGCAATATCAGTCAAGTTCAGAATATCAGCATGTCCTATCTTGCACATGCATACACATGTACCATGAGAACTACATTAGAGGAGTACCAAACTATTACAAGACTTTCAGTGTCAGAAAACATTTTACGGCGCAATTTAAAACTGTAACAATTTTACAAAGACCTCACCAGAACCATTTTAACGGTAGATAACTGAACCAAAGAATGCTATTCAGTGAAAACCAGCTATTCTACACTTGTTAATGTAGGTCTCCGACCAACCAGAACTGGTTCTCCCCATCTTTCAATGATATCTATACACTAATCAATTGCTATCTCACGGCACAACAAATTTCCTTATATTTTTTAGCCTTCCAAGGAATAGGGAGGGGAAGTCGCCACATCTAGGATTTAAAAAAGTCAGCACAGGCCATATGCTCTGCCATAAATGCTTCTTCCCAATTTTCAAATACATTCGTTCATGTACAATGCACAGTACGATCAAGGTCAAAGCGGGGTTTCTTTACTTCCTATAACCTTAAAACGAGGGTGCATGGGTTATCTTCTAATTACGAAGGATTTTGTTAAAACCCCGAGCACAGGAAGCATAAACATAGATAACCACAGCATAAAGAGAACTCTACCAAATATATCAATGCATTTCATTCCAAGGCCTAATACAATCAGAATCTTAAAACATCCCCAAATGACGCATAATTCGTGGAGACATAAAAGACGGGGGGTGGCACCCCATAAAAGGAGGTCGGAAAAGGATATCAGAAATTTATGTAGATTACGGTGGCAATGCGAGGAGAAATTAGCAACAAAATGATAATTATATGCTGCATACATTTCAATGCCTCAGACAATCACAATACGACAGACGCAATCAAATAACACAATCTCAAACAAACAGACCTAAAAAAAAACCGTATAAAATGTAAATACAGAAACCCATTCGATGATTCCAATCGGCAATCTTACCACCAAACCACGCCGATTGACATAATTGTTATCCGTCGCCATCTCAACAAAATTGTTAATCAAGCGAGGATAACAGATGCACAAAGGAAAAACAAAGATTATGGAAGAAAGCAAAACAAGTAGGGGAAGACGAAGAAAAATGAGACCCAAAAGAAGAGGAAATACCAATTAGCGAATAAATAAATAAAAGTCTCCTAATCAGATTATACAGATTAAAAAGTAGTAATTAATAAAAGCCATTGAAGAGAAGAAAAACCAACCGAAATTCATGGCCCTCTTTTAATTTTAATTTTATTTTTTTTCTCTCGCCTGCCCTTTTTCTCCTCACCTTTAATCCTCTGCGTGTGCGCGACTCTGTCTACTACACACACCGAATTAAATATATATATATGAAATCTTGTATGTATATATATGGAAATTGGAATTAAGCTTTAGGAGTAATAGTAAAGTGGATCGCAGAAAAAGTGGGGTGGAAAGACAGGTGCGAGGACAACCAGGCAAAGCAAATATTCCCAACGAATGGAGAGAGAAACTACTAGAGAGAGAAAGTGATGAGAGAGAAAGTCAGAGTCTTTACAGCCTGAAGGAGGGCCGGTTGAGTGGAGAGAGGTATTACTAATTCTTGGATCGTGTATGTATGTATGTCTATAATCTGTATGTTATTAAAAAAATAACGTATATTTGATTTGGCAGAAAATATCAACAATTACAATAAAATACTTAATTTTTTAATTTCATTAATTTTTCTAATTGCAACTATTTTTTAATATAATTTATCTTAATTATTATAAAAAAAATGATTTTCAGATTTTTTTTTCTTTCGAATTCTATCAAACAAATAATCTAATCTCAATCAAATAACGTTAAATTTGTGTAGAGTGGGTGCCATGTTGAGGAATGAGGGGTGAACAAGTTGGAGTCAAGCAACAGTTTCTACTCCAAAATTCTGTACATGCTTAAAAAAGAATATTTGTTTTACAAATAATTTGATTATATAAAATAAATTCATGGATAAGATGTATATAAACGTCTTTTTAACGCATTTGCCCCCCTGGACTTAAAATTCGGGCTCCGGTAATGGAGACAATATTGACAAGAAACCAGAATTGTATCATAGACATTCAGGAAATGTGCTAAAGAAAGTGGGAATATTGCTATATACAAGGATATTATATAGGTTAAAATATCGGAAGAAGAAGCTACGAGGCACATGTTTGTCTCATAGGAGTGAGGAGTCGAGCAAATCGAAGTGGAACGTGAGCTCTAACCAAAGCTCCATTCTCCACATATTCCTGTCCAGTAATTAATTATTCAACATTAATATTAATAATATTACTGTTTATAAGAGTGGATAAAGATTGAAAATAGCAACAAGGGAAGATTGCTTACGATTTTTTCAACCATGCCAACGTGATGTATGGTGCTTAGAAGTTCCCCTTTGTCGAATGGAATTAGGGCTTCCACCCACACCATCATATCCTGTCGAATAAACAATTACATGATAATTAATTTAAGTACACTCAATTTACCAGCAGAAAATTGGTAATTTATAAACGATCGCATCCATATAAGTAGTACCTTCAGTTTTTCTTGAACTGAATTGCAGAAATCATCCAGTCCTTCACCAGTTAAAGCGGAAATGCATACGATATCTGCATTATTCTCAGCTTCGGACTTAATTTTTTCAGGGTCCTTTGCATTATCGACCTGTGAAAATAGCATTCTAAAACATAAATCCACAGGAAAGACAAGCAGTTTCACTGGTGTAAACTTTCAATTATCGCTCCCACTGATACAAATCTAAGAATTACTGTCTAGATAATTCTTAGTACCTTGTTCCAGACGATTAATTTTGGGATTGATGTTGTATCAAGTTCTGCAAGAACTTTGTCCACTGCATCAACTTGTTGCTCTGCCAGTGGATGGCTGTTTGGAATAGCACAATGTAATTAGAATCTACGTAGTTGTGATTTTACAGTCCACTCTTGAAATGATCAATCGTACCTAATATCCACGACGTGTACTATAAGTGATGACTCGGATATCTCTTCCAGGGTTGCTCTGAAAGCAGCTACCTGGAATACGGCAGATCAGTTAACAGAGTACGATCTGATTATGAAGCAGCAGACACCAAAAAGTTCACTCGCTTTTAAGAAAATGGGGAATAACCACGGCATAACTGGAGAGAGAAATGTTCATACCAGTGTTGTTGGTAGTTTTTGAATGAAGCCAACGGTGTCAGTTAAAAGAAACTCCTTCCCATTCTTCGTCTGGACATAAAACAATTGCTCACATTTAGTGCATGAAAAAAAGAATTTTAGTCCGTAGGACCAGGATTTAGTAAGAAATCAACTTGTTATCCATTTCATATCATGCATATGTCTCTTTGGATCTAAGATGTAGTGAAGGAAAAGTGAAAAGAAAAGGGAAAAGCAAAATGATTGAATACTAAGAAAACAGATAAAATACATGAGTAACCTGCTAAATGATTCTTAATATTATTGAACTACTATTATGCATCCTTCAAAACCAAATGAAGGAAAATCTACCATTATGCTTTCATCAAAACTAAATGAAAGAAATTTCTCCATAGTTTCAGGTGGTAAAAGTGATGTTAGTCAAGACCAATTTCCCGTAAAATATACAGACAAACATAAGATTGAAAGGGACGTCTCTAAACTGTGACATTAGACATACATGGATATGGTCGAGGAGAACAAATTACTTTGAGGACATTGTACTTACCAGCACCCTCCTTGTAGTAGGATCAAGTGTTGCAAATAGCTTGTCCTCAGCAAGAACATCAGCTCCAGTCAATCGGTTTAGAAGTGTACTCTTTCCAGCATTTGTGTACCCAACCTGAAACACCAATTTGACGTTCATCCCTCTTATTTAATAAAAAGGCTGAAAATTAGATTCTAAGAGACGATATTCAAAGTTAATAATATCTAAATGCAACATCATGGGAGTGTTTGATATTGGATATAATAAAGTAATTTGTTTACATCATGGTACAAAGTTGTTTGTTGAGAAACAACTAGTAGTATTATTACATTAAGATTTAGCAATTAAACTAGAAGCATTTACCAGTTTAAAAGAGCATTGTCATCAAGAAAACTTGTAAATCTGCTTTTATCCCCCCTACCAAATTGATGGATATCATATGAAGTGTTGTATACTAAGCTATAAACTATAAACTAGAAGGGTTTGAGAATGTAAAAGAATGTATTGTCATCAAGACAAACTTCTAATTCTAATTTATCACCTACCAAACTGAAACAAACAGTAACCTACCAAAGATACAACTGGGATGGGTATATCAAATCGCCGGTTTCTGTACTGCTTGCGATGCTTACGAACAGATTCTATCTCTTTCTTGAGAGCACCAATCTGAAAACTCCAGAAATAATGCACATTACACAAATGCAACTCACTAAAGCATGGAAGTCAAACATACAGGCGACACTACGAGAAAAAAAAAAAAAAACATAGATGATGACGAGAAGAGATTTAACAATAGTAGCAGAAAGCAAGTTGCGCACCTGGTCGCGTAAGATACGCTTGTCAACTTCAATTTGTTTCTCACCCATACCCTTCACTTGTCCTCCAGATTGACGCTCAAGGTGGGACCACATTTTCGTTAACCGGGGTAGTTGATATTCCATCTGAGCTAATGATACCTGAGTAAATATTTTCTTGTTAGCATCCGAAAATAACCCCTAGAGAACTGGTTTTGCTTTAAAAAGTTAAAAAATTGCCTGTAAAGAAGCTTCACGTGTGGCAGCTCGCTGGTTGAAGATATCCAGGATAAGGGCAGTACGATCACACACCCTAACACCTCCACCAAAGGCCTTCTCCAAGTTCCTCAATTGTCTGTCTTCAAACAATTAAAAACAGTTAAAAGAAGAGCCATAATATAATACCACTTCAGCATAAAAATCCACTTGCAAATAGATTAAACTATTTTTTTTCAGGCATGGATAAATATAAATCTTATGCAAGTCAGTAAGAACCAACCCTGGTGAAAGCTCGTCGTCGAAAATTACTGTCTCAACGCCAAATGCAGTGATCGCACTCTTAATTTCTGCGACCTTTCCTGATCCTATATATGTCCTGGAATTGGGTGTTGCAAGTCTGCAGAAAAATATAAAAATCCCCTCGATTAGAGAATTACATTTCAGCAGTATTAGGGAAACTTGCCATTAAAAAAAGTTAAACTACATCGCTCACCTTTGACAAGTCGAACCAACAACAGATAATCCAGCAGTATCAGCAAGCTGCTCCAATTCACCAAGTGAGTCTTCTATACTAAAAGAACCATCGGTATCGCCTTTCCTTGACACACCAACTAGATAAGCTTTCTCTTCAAATACCTAATTCAATTTCACAGCTTAGTAAGCAAATTAAAAGAGCATACATGTATTGTATATCACCATCTGGTATCGTATACATACTAAAATCCAGAAAATATTAAATGCAAATGCCTCTCAACAAAAATCGAAAATTCGAAACGAGAGAGAGAGAGAGAGAGAGACCTCGCGTCCATTTCGCAGTTTGAATCGACTTTCTCTATCACTTTCGTCGACACTTCCTTTCTTTTCCTCCGACCTCTTTGACCGAATTTGACTTGGTGCATCTTGAGATTCTTCCGGCGCGGTGCCCGCGGCTTCACTGATCACTCCATGGGCCTCAGCCTCTGGTTCAGCACCAGCAATCGGGCCGGTCCGCTCGGAAACGGTGTCGTCCGGGTAAATAACTCCTACGCCGTCCGTATGCACCGCCTTGAATCGGAAACATCCGCCGTGAGTTTGAAGATTAAAGAGCTGGACGGGCTTGATACTAGGGTTTGGAGCCCAACGAGAAACGAAATCATGCTCGCGATTCAGGAGCGAAGGCTTCAGGATTGAGCAAAAGCATAAGCTCATCGTAAACTTTTTTTACCTTTTATTTTTAATAATACGAAAAATAATACGAAAAATCCAGGCAATTTATAACTTTCCCTTTTCCGCTCGTCTTCCAAATATTACGATTTTGCCATTTGGTAGCTTTGTGGTTATTTTGAATTCTATCTACATTGAAAAATATCTTAAACGTAAGGGGCAACTATTTTAAATCCCAACTTTTGTTTACTTGAATACTACCAAATTTAAAACCAAAATTGAGTACATATTTATCAGTTTTTTCTTACTTTAATACCAAAATAAAAAGAAAAGTACAAAAACACCCTTTCATATAAAATATCAATTATATCAAATTTTTTTAGAAATTACCTATTCAAAAACCAAATAAAAAAAAGAAAAAAGAAAAAAAACCCTTTGTTGTAAAAAAAAAAAAAAAGACCCCACCATA